ACAAGATGCATTGAGGCAGGTACAGAATTTGCGCAGAGCGCGTCCCTAGTCGCTTACCTAAGCGTCAACAGACGGCTTGCGCGTCGCGACGCGTCCGAGCGCGTTGCTCCTCTCCAACACAATTATTCCTCACTTACGCGTACAATGTCTCCCGCTGGGACCATTACAACCTGAACGACGTCAGCCTCGCCTGGGCGGAGCGCGAGTTCGCCCTTTCGCGTTTCGCCGTCCCAATCGCAGGACATCGTCGACATTATGGGCAACGTGACTTGTGTCAATGCGCTGCGCAAGCCCGAGCTGGTCAACAGCACGACGTACAATTTGACAAACTACGGCGAGGCAAACGCCATCCTCGCCACGCATGCCACGCTCAACGCGACGTCCTGGGCGATCTGGGACCAGCTGGACCCAGGTATGCAGCCCGCGTATTTTCAGCTCGTGCACCACCCGCTTCAGGCAAGCTACACGCTCCAGAAGATGTACATCTATGCGGGGCTGACTAATCTGTATGCGAGACAGGCGAGGCTGGAAGCCAAGGGGCTTAATGATGAGGCCGCGCAGGTGTTCGAGCAGGACTATGCGCTCGAGCATCAATATCATACGCTGCTCGATGGCAAGTGGCAGCAGTACGTACCAGCTCCGGGACCTGGTCCCTGTACCGATACTCGCATCTCAGCATCATGGATCAGACCCATATGGGATGTAAGTGGGATTGATGCATTGTGCAGTATCACATATTGACGCGCTGCAAGATGCCTACTGGCAACAGCCCATGCAGAACACGATGCCTGCTGTGAACAGGGTGCCGAGCCAGAAGACTGCTCTTCCTGGGGCTATGCGCAACACAATCGATGCGTCCCTCATGCGTCTTTCGATCTGCGCGATGTTGCCGATTCGAACACGGCCGTCTACACAGGGTGCGCTGGGCCGGGTGATGATCATTTGATGTGAATTCAGCTCCGATACTGCGACTCATTGCCTGATTTGTTGTTTGTAGTGTGCGCAAATGTACAGCTGCCCGACCGGCTCCATGCTTCCCTTCGACACCTATGGTCTGGTCCAGCGGTGGGTGGATATCAGCGCCGGCGGTCCTGCTACATTCAATTGGACTGCCTCTTCCAATGTCTCTTGGCTGTCAATCTCCGAAACATCTGGGACCGTCACGCCTGCCAACGGCGGAAACACGACGACGCGTATCTGGTTGTCGGTAGACTGGGGCCAACTGAACACTTCGGTCGGATGCGCGCAGATCAACTTCTCTTCGGCATCGTCATCCAATATTTGTTCAAAGAGGCGATGGCCACGCAGCTAGGTCCTTTCTATGTACCAGCGTACAGGACGGCCGCGCCCAGCAACTTCACCGGCTTCGTTGAGGGCGATGGGTATGTGGCTTGGGATGCCGCGCACGCGGCACGGAAGAACAGCGTGAACGACACTTACTGAGGTGTGATCCCGAACTACGGCCGCAACTGGACCAGCGTCACCCCATTCCCAGTTGCCGGCAACAACTTCTCCGTCGGTGCAGGACCTAGCTTGGAGTGTGACTTCTATCTGTTCAACACTCTCGGAGGCAACTCGACCCAAAATGGCAACATAACCTTGGCCGCTGTCATGTCACCGTCGCTGGACAATCGAGGGTATTCGAGGCCCCTTGGCTTTGCCCTGCAGCTTGACAATAGCTCTGCAATTCCGATCTATCCGGTGCCCATCGTGTCGGCCGCTGAGCAGCCGCCGGACTGGGACACTCCTGACGGATGGGTGGCGAACAGCATGATCAACACGACTATCCGTGAGTGCCCCTTCATGCGCAGCCTAGTTTCGACTACTAACGCTGTATGTTAGAGAGTTAGTGTTGGAGTGTAATCCAGCATGCCTAGATACGGCCAGATAGTGCAGTGGTTAGCATGCCTTGGTAGAAGCAAGGAGGCCCGGGTTCGACCCCCGGTCTAGTCAATCATTACCGGTTTAACGAGAGTTCAACGGCACCGCACTTAGAAAGCATACATTGACACTATGACTGATCGAACCGGCCGGTCGTGATGCAGAAGTTCATCATCAACACCGGAGGCTTGCGGTACGCGTATCTCGGTCCCCCGGGGAGCGCCTATATGTGAGCTCTTCATTCAAGTACGCTTCGGTAGGCGTAATCAATGAGGATGAGATTGGATATCATTTTCTCGCCGCCGTGAACCGCGATGTAAACAACGCTATCCGCAAAATCCATGCAACGACAGCATATGCGGCAACCCTGTCTCAGCCACCTTGCTGTCCTCCGGCAGCGTAGGATACTCTCCCAAATTGACGGCGAAGTTGAAGCAGCCCGTGTTGGGGTAGCAATACCTGTTGTCATCGACAACCGCGGCAGTCGGAGACCCGCCGGCGTCTGGCCACGAATAGGGCGGAGCAGCTGTCTCCCAGTCGGAGGGCCAGTTGGACTCCACCCCTCCCATACCATGGCTCCACTCCAGCATGTTTGGTCCGAGGTCGAGTTGCGCACCGAGCGGGGCCTGTCTTGCTGCACCGGGACATGCGCTGTATGTCCGGGTGATTGGACATGGCGCTGAGACGGCCGGGAACAGGCTTGTTCCGCCATTGCATGATGTCACTTCGGACCCATAATGGGTCGGGGGAAGCGACGTCGTTTGATGCTCAGGCTCAGGCATCACGAACTGCAGCCGGCCTAAACTAGGCGGCACGGTGCGTTCGCCGTCTTGGCGGCATTTGACGATGCTCAAAGCACAGAAACGGCATGCCCGTGCTGTTTCACCCCTGCATCAGATGTGAGCCAGCAGTCCGTGAGTGAGTGAAATGCCGGCATACGCGTAATGAGACAAGTCGCTCTCATCATCCCCCGGCCTCTTCTCCCCTCTAGGCGCGGGGGTGATCGTCGCTGTATACGTTACGTGGCTGATGTCGTCGCCGCTGCGAGTCGTGTCGATGTCAAGTGCGCTCCAGCTCCAAGGGCGAAGTCCAGGCAGATACTAGTGCTGTACCGAGTTGCCGTTTGAGCGAGAGCCAGAAGCCAGAAGAGCAGGCTGATCAGATGGGGGAACAGGCGAGAAGGCATCCGCACAAGACTGAGCCTCTTCACCACAGGGCCTCTGCACCCGGAGCCGAGAGGGCGCACATCTCGCCGGCGATGAACGTGCTTCTCGCAGATTGATCCCGGGACAGCCACCGGTGCCGACGGCACTATTGCAACAAGGCGTCACGGCACGTAAAGTCTCTCGTACAAAGGCACAGAGCCCTCATGGATGCTATCAACGCTTCCCCCCCCTCCTCCTCCGCAGAGGTCGGCCCGTCAACCTTAGCACCGCCTCCGCCCACCCCTGTGCTCTAAACAGCTCATCGTCATCATGAAACCTGGCTCAGTGACCGTGCACGCCGCAGGACGGTACTATAAGAACTCTTTGATCGAGATACTCAAGAGGGATTTGGGCCTCGACAGGATATACAGTGCGTCCCCCCCCCCTCCCCCTGGCAATGGCTGATCATCATCCAGATGATGCACAGCTGTGAACCGCTGGGACCGGGTGACCAGCGGGCTCACACTCGTCGCCACCACGCCGCAGTAGGCAAACGAGCTGTGCAAGCAGTTGACGGAGAATGGGGTGAAGAATGAGTACCTCGCGCGCGTGGCGGGCGACTTCCCCCAGTGCGCCTCTGCCCCCTGTCCCTCGTCCCTCGCACTTGCTGACTGCGTCGTGTATAGGGAGGAAACAACCATCTCCCAGCCGCTGCTGACGATCGATCGGCAGATGGGGCTCGCAGTCGTGGACCCATCCGGCAAGCCGTCCATCGCCGTCTTCCAGCGCCTCTCCCATGACCCCGTCTCGCACACTTTAGCTCTGCACTGTCAGCCAAAGACGGGCCGGACGCACCAAATCCGCGTCCATGTCCAGCACCTCGGCTTCCCCATCGACAACGATCCGATCTACCGAGCCGACAACGTCTGGGGCCGTGAGGGCGGGAAGGGCGGCATTGCACTCACCCTTCCATTGCACTCACCCCGACGGAAGAGAGGACGGCGATGGTCATGTCCGAGGAGGCGGCATGCGCGCTTAACCTGAAGCTGGAGGAGGGGAGGAGGAGCGTGGACGGGCTGGGTGGGGACGGACGGTTGGGCGCGGGGGACGGTGTGCACCTTGTGGATACGCTGCCGGCTACACCGGCGCCGGAGGAGATCACCTCGGATGCCGAGCACCCAGCTGTGGGCGACACAGCCAGCTTATGTACTTCCTTCCCATCACTGGGGAGCCTCGCAGGAATTTGAATGAGTAATTTGTAGCGCTAGTCTCAATGTCTGCTCCATGACCGGTGTACCTTCCCCGAGAATACAAGATAGATACCCACTACACACCGCGACTGCAACACATGCCCAATGGCACCCTTCAGTCATGGTCTATGGCCCATTTCCCCACCGAACCTCAGCCCACTCGCGCCGCTTCTCCCAGCACCCCTCCCAGTCGTGTAGCGCCAAGCGTGGAGCAGAAGATCGTTCCAGTCGCCCGGTCGAGCATCCGGTGCAACTCTTCCTCTTTCGCCGGCTCGGTGCCATTCCCTTCTTCACCTTTGTCTGCATCGGTATCCACAGGGGGATCCTGAACCGCATATTGTCCACTCCTTGCGACCTCTCGCCCACGAGCCTTCTCCGCCCTCCGGTGGCCCCTCAAGAACCTCCCCGTGTCCCGCGGCGCAAGACGACGTCCAGCCAGCGAGCACAGTTCTCCTTTTTGTCCTTCTGGTCGCGGAGGGACTTGATGATCTGGGTCGCTTGGCTGCTGAGCGGGACGGCGGAAGAGAGACCGATGTCGGCCCCTGATTCCCGGGGGAGAAGCGGGACGGATCGTCTGGGGGTATGCAAGCCGGGGCCCCGGAAGAGAACGATTGCCGTGTTTGTTGGGAGCGCAACATGTCGTCCCATTTTGGTCCCTGGGTATTGAAACCGTCCCAGTTGGGGTCCGGATTCCAACTGTTGGAACTCGGCATCGCCAGGTATGGGGCCAAATCCAGGGAAGGCAAGGGTGGCGTAAACAGCAGACTCTGTTGTGAGGCCTGCATATCGACGGAGAGCGCAGGGATGGAGAGCGCGGGGATGGGGAGCGGAGGGACGGGAAGCGGAGGGACGGGAAGCGGAGGGTAGGACGACGTCCAGTCCTCGAGCCCATCAACCTCAGGCATCACAAAAGGCACCCCGCCTAAAGTAGGCGGCAGGGTGCGTTCGCCGTCCTCACTGCGTTTGACGATGCTCAGAGCACAGAAACGGCATGCCCGTGCTGTTTCACCCCTGCATCAGATGTGAGCCAACAGTCCGTGAATGAGTGAAATGCCGGCATACGCGTAATGAGACAAGTCGCTCTCATCATCCCCCGGTCTCTTCTCCCCTCTGGGCATAAAGCGCAGAGTTGAGTGAGCCATTCCTTCTCTGGAAGGCTCCATGCCCTTCAGCCAGGGATGAAGGTGAGCTGGGACTAGGAACCCCGTCATCACCTCCCTCAACGTGAAATAGGACACGAGGCGATATGTTTCACCCGATCCGGTGACGATGGTGATCGTCTGGAAAGCGGACGTCATCGGCCGTTCCAGCTTTGGCAGAACACACACGTACCTTCTTCAACGTCGAGTCTGGGTCAATGTACCCGCTTTCGTCTGGCAGCGGTCCTGCAACACACTCAACGAGCGATCTGATATCCGCTGGGGACAACCGTGTGCCCCCTGCAGTATACAGCTCCGCGGGGATTTCCGCACCGCGCCGCTCGTTGGCCTTGCCCTCTTTCTGGGCATAGATCTAATAAAGCCGTTCAGAACGACGAAGATGCCCTACTCAGGCTGCCACGCACCAAGTAATTGTATTTTATCCTCGAGTCCGTCCATCGGTATGAATCCGTCCATCGCTTGATACCAGAGTCGCCCTCATGGTAGATGAACAGATTCCCGCTCTTGACGAGATCGCGGGCCTCCTCACGGGTGAGCCGGCGATCCAGCGCTTGGATCACACCAGTCCTCACGGCCTCGACCACGACGAGGGCATCGAGTGTGTCGTGTGCCCAGATACCCGACAACGGTTGGTACTGCAAGCGGGGCGGCATGATGGGATGAACTGGTCGGGGGAGAAGATGGCGGCGATTGTCCTCTTCGTTGGTCTGTATTCATACCCAACAGTAACCCCTGTGGATGCATCAGCCCCCCAACGGTTGCCCTCTGGAAGATCCAGTGATGCGGTCCTAAGTTAATTAATCAGGATATTGAACACTACCAAATGGAATTCACGAATGCGAACGTGCTAGGCCACGTTGGTGCGGAAAACGTGGTGAGCGTATATGTTCCAGCCCCCCAGTGATTTGACCCGCGTTCTCGTCTATCCAACTGCTCTGTTTCAGTCGTGCAAACATCCGCGGCGTGCTCGCGTCACTCGGGATCAGCTCTTTGTTATGGCTGAGGGAACCTATAATCGTCATCGCTGCCCCAGCGAATCGGAGGCCATACACTGGGACAGGGCTTCTCCCGACGAAGACTGAGGTAGAGCTACTTGGCGTGGTTTACCGGCGAGCTTATATGCTGAATACAAAATTAGGGACGCGATTGGAGAGCCATCCGTTAAACAGCATGTTCGACCGTGCGTTCCGCAGTTCCCGATCCCGGCCGTCCTGAAGGTCTGCTTCACTCTGAAGGTCGAACGACGTGCAACGGCACACAGAGCTTATTGCTCGCTCTCAAGAGCTCGCCTCAGCTCATCCTATCATCCATTTAGGGTATATTCTGCAACGTCGACTGGATACGCGATGTATGCACTATGAGACGATCGGGACTCGCGCCTCTATTCATCATCGTCCTGCAGCATGGCACCGCCATGCGGGCCGAGCCTGCACTTCCTTCCGCACACGCGGATCAGGCCGGCCTCGAGTTCTGCAACGCAATTGGGGACCGAGCGATGCTGGTTACGATATCCTACT